CCCTACGACCCGCCTTCTTAAACAAAATGAAAGGTACGCCAGTATCAATCTATCAAAGGATTATTCAAAATCCAACTTCTTTTAATAAGTCATCAATACTTAGAATGAAATGAGTGCATAATATCAGCTCATCTCATGCACATTAGAATAATGACCAAACAAGAATACTCTAAATATTGATGCAAATATATGAATGGGGCGGTTTGCGATGGCATGAGGAAAAGGTTCATACAGGGAACTAGGGACTTAATAGCTGGTGACATAAACCTTCTGGAAGACATTCTGAAGGTCATCAATGTCTCCGACAAGTTCCCCGAAGAGAGAAAAGGGAGAATATGGATGGAAATAATCCCAATAATCTAGATACATAATGCATCAACATACGTGAACAAATTTGTGAGGATACGCAGGAACCTAGAAATGAAAGAACAATTGGTCCCTCATGCGGACAAAGTAGGAGCGACAGCTGGTCGAAATATGTTTTGACTAAAAGCTTTATCCACATTCTATAGGTTTTAAGGCCCAATTAATATTCTGATCATAAAGGATAAGTCAAGTAAGTAAAGAAATAAAATATATATGGCAAGGCTTCAGATCAATATAATAAACCTGAAATGGGCTTAGTCAAACAGGAAACATTGTGAGAAATAAAAATAGAAACCGATGTAAAAAGAACAAACAAAAAAACAACATTTGTAGAATAAGTGAGAAAATGTAGCTTGGCAAACTTATAATAAAGCATTATATAATTAGCTAGTAATGTTGCAACTACCCGTATGCCCAAAGATGATCAAGAGCGTAGTTTTAATTTTATTTGATTTTTTTGTGTTACGTCAATTAAACTCCATTCTGGAGGATGCGACTCATACTGTTCTGCTGATAATAAAAAGGTCCATTCTGTACTTGATAAACAGTAAATAATTAAAGATCATAGGTATGAGAATAAACAATTATCATCAACAAGAAATCAGACTTACGATAAATATAGTGTATAAAGAATTATTGTTAAAAATTAGCATAATAATGGAACAAATATAAGGTTGAGAATTTACGTTCACTGGGTATTGCATCATTGCATCGTAGCAGTCTAACTAAGTTAGTGAAGGGATAGTCATAATTTCAACTATTAAAATATATATTATTACTAAACAAACCTAAGATTGGCACACGTGAAAGAAAATCTTGATACATTTTGCGTCGGCGTATCGTGCTACCCATTAAGATCCGTCGGTAGGAATCACGGTCTATGCCCCAAAGTTTCACCTCAGTCTTAGCACGCACGGTCGCTGCTCTTGGAACACCATAGATGAGAGCAAGCTCTCCGAAGGAGCCCCCCTCGCCAACACTACTGATATAGTCCCCATTAACGAAGATCTGATTTAAAAGATAAAAATATAAATTAATATAGGATGAATAAATGTATCAGAACTAGGTAATTGAGAAAACATAAATAAGATTTTAAAAATCTCTATATAAAAAGTAAATCGAAGCTACCACTAACTATTTTAGCGAAAAAACATTGTTTTAAAACGAAATAATATCAGCCATTAGAAAGGAATCAAGAAATAAAGTGTTGCAGCTCACCTCGACTTGGCCCTGATCAATGATGTAAAAATTGTCGCCCTCATCACCTTGCTGAATGATCACATCATCTCGATTTCGATGAACCGGGAACATGGCATCAAATATATCACTTTATGGAAGAGGAAATGATTTAAAATATTAATTAACTAATTTTGTGTTAGATAATCAGGGAAATTGGCATTCAGAATTGCTAGCCAAATTGGCTTGTAATGTAAGATGCGAGTATTAGGACTTACACAGAGTAGTGATCGTAAAAATAATCATACTAAAAAGAATGGTAGTCAAAAAAACATAATATATGAGAAAGATTCCCTTATGCTAGTAATATTGAAGATCTAGTAAATAAAAACATCCCCCCATAATGAAAAATATGTTTAATAAATGTAATTATTTTTTACACATATTAAGTGAAAAAATTACAATTAATCTCATTTAAGTCAAGATATAGTTGCATAAGTGGCCGGAATAAGGAATATTAGTAGAAATATTTTGGCCGAATTTGATCGACTATCTTACTTACTAAGTGTCATTAAAACTATTCCAAATTGTCCACATGTCAGGTGCGAGTTTCCCCTTAGGCATCAAGGTTGTAACACGTGTTTTCGGGATAAACA